AGCCACAGAGCTGGGCGTCTCCGTCATCTCTTGGCCGAGGCCTGATTCTCAGCCCCAGTGCAAAGCCTTTGGATTATTTCATTTGAAGATTGTCATCATCTCCTCCCCCTCTTCCTCCTGCCTCTGCCTCTCCTGCTGCTTCATTTTTCCCTCAGGATCGCGGAGCACAGTGCTAATTTGAAGCTCTGTGTACTTCCGCCTAACACTTCTAGTTCATCTGGTCGAACGAGCGGAAAATCCAGTGTCTTGGGGACTGTAGCAGGAGGTCCCCGGAAAAGCCGGGTGTCCAAGCCAACACACGTCTCTGCACCCCACATACTTTGTTCTGCCAGGGACTCAGGCAGGAGGCCTCCTTCTGTCTTTTCACTTTCTTTATTTTATATATTTTGAACCTTCACACCAGCTTCTGAACAGATAATATGTAGCACACATATTCAACCAGGGTCCTTGGCCGTGTTTCTAAATCATTTTAAGAGTTAGTCATTTCAAGCTAGGCATGGTGCCCCACACCTATAATCCTGGCACTCTGACAGGCTGAGGCAGGAGGGTCACAAATTAGAACCCAGCCTGGGCAACTTAGCGACTTAGTAAGACTGTCTCAAAATCAAAAGTTGCTAGAGATGGAGCGCAGCGCAAAGGCCCTGGGTTCAGTCCTCAGTCCTGGGGGCGGGGAAATCATTCTTTCATCATCCTCAGCAATGAGTGACGAAGAAGAAACTGGAAATTCACTCCAAAGCACATCTGCAGCATTTCGAATGTTGATAAACAACACTCGGATCTTCTCTGTGAATGAGTAAAAAGAAAAGGTGTCACACTGGTTTGGCCAAACCCACTGAGTGGCACGGTGCTGCGGTGACTCATTCAGCGTGGGGCAGTCCCGCGCCCCTCCTTAACTGGCTCCACCCACCTGTCCCTCACCTCCCTTAGCGACCCAGTCTCCCCCACACCCAGCCTCAGTGTGCCCCCATCTCTCGTGCCCTTCGGGACTGCTTGTACTATCTGTGTTAGAATGACAACCTGGCAGTTTAAAGCCACCTGAAGAAAGGAAGTCCGGCCTGAGTCCCCCGGTGTGACCACAGCAGGGCTACAGGAGAAGCTGCTGTGCTGCCTTTATTGTTCCTTTCTCCCTCCCCTCTCCCTCTTCCCCCCCTCTGCACTTTCAGCACTCCAGGAACCTCTGCCTTTCCTGCTCCATTCTTCCTCGTCCCCTAAGGTCTAGCACGAGATGCACCTCAGACAAAGCTGCAGCCACTTACTTGGGCGGTCTCAGAGTGACACGACATCTTATTCGCACTGGAAGTCCTCTCTCTCTGGTTCCCAGCTGCATTACAGCCAGAGCGGACCCCGTGCTGTTCCCGAGGGTGGCGGTCCAGGTCTGGTGCAGAGTAGTAGCGGCAGTCGGAGAGGAAGTGGTGAGAAATAGTAGCATCCAAAATCAGGCTTTGATCGCTATGGCAAAGAGCATGGGTATGTCCGAGGAAATCAGAAACAGGGCTACCATATGCCCAGCGATTCTGCCTGGGGTGTACGCCCAAAGGAGATGGCCATAAGCTCACTGTGTAGCTCAGGCTGGCCTTGAACTCATGGCAATCCTCTTGCCTCAGCTTCCCAAGTGCTGGGATTCCCAGGCATGCACCACCATGCCCAGCTAGGGCTGGCATTTTGGAACTCTACTTTTTAAGGCTGATGGTTTTTCTGACTAGGTCTTTTTTTTTTTTTTTTCAGTGAAAAGTACAGTAGGTTTTTCCTTACAGTAATAATTAGGCCCATTAAAGTGGGGTACGTGCCAGGCAGGAAGAGCTCATTGGCAGACTCTGGGTTCAGCCATGGGCCCGAGACAAACAAGGCTAACTTGGGAGAAAGAGCTGGGTTCTTGTCATGGAGCTTTGTTTTGTTTTATATTCTGCTACTGGGGAATTGAACTCAGGACCTTACACTTGCCAGGCAGGCACAGCCCACTGAGCTACATTCCCAGTCCTTGTCATGGAAATTTTTAAGAAGGCCCAGGTGTCCTACCAGAGCTTTTGTAGATTTACACTACTCCCTAAGATCTTTCCAAAGTTCTATTTCTTTTCTTTTCTTTTTTTTCTCCAAAGCTCTGTTTCTCAATTCGATTATTTCTTTGCTAAGGGTGACATCAGAGCAGCTCACATATACTTAACTGATGTTGTCTTTCCTTTTCACCTCACTCTCTCCCTTTTCTTTAACTTCTTTACTTTATAAAGTTTTTATTTTGAGACAGTGTGTCACTAAGTGTTAAATTGCCCAGGCTGAGCTCAGCCTAGTGATCCTCCTGCCTCAGCCTCCCAGACTGCTGGGAGTATAGGCTTTTTATGGACATAAAATAGACATCTCAGAAAATGTCTGTTTCATTAAGGCATGCAGTGTGAGACTTGCCTGTGCTCCCTCATCCAGCCACCCCCTTGGGGTAGCTACAATCCTGACTTCAGACATGACTTTATTTTTATTCTTGTGTGTGTGTGTGTGTGTGTGTGTGTGTGTGTGTGTGTGTGTG